ATTTTTTGGTTGCAGCCGTCATCGTTGTTTGGCGGGCCCGGGCTGGATTCGAACCCGCCACCTTAGGTCTATGTGGCTGGTGCCTTAGCCACTTGAGCCACGGGTGCCGAGCCATATGATGTGTCTTAAGAGAAACTGATTTATGCTTTTTTAGTTCCAATGGCCATGAACATTGGAATATTTTCATGATGATTTCCTGGACTCTCCCCAGCCAGCACAGGATGAATAGTTTCCTCTGGAAGAGGACTCAGATCACCGTCTGTGGCTTCCTATTTCAGGCAGCAGAAGCAGGGCAGAGCCGGAGCAACCCGCTTCTCAAGAGGCTGGTGCGGACCCAGGCTGTGCTGGACCAGTCGGACGTGTACACCCACGTGCTGTCACCCTTTGTGGAAAAGAAGGTGGGCTGTAGCTTTTCTGCCACTTTTGAACTGAGAGTGCCCAAAACAAGGGAGATGTGGAAAATTAGGAGAACTCATAATGTGATTTGAATCCTGGTGTTTCCTTGAGTGAGGACCTAGCACTGGTAGTTTGGCTTCTGATACTCAGGTCTAAGTAGTAATCACTGACAGGGTTCTGGAGGGCTTTGTGCAGAACCAGTGAAACATTGAGCCATTTTAATATTGCACAGGGAGGGGGCAGATAAAGGAGGAGTTATAGGTAGCCCTTTTTGCAACTAATATTCATAAAACTACTCTTTTTCCCTGTAGGAGATGCCTCACAAATTTGTGATCGCTGTGCTGATGGAGTACATTCGCTCTCTTAACCAGTTTCAGATCGCAGTACAGGTATCTTCTTCATAATGGCATCTGTCACCCCACATTAGAGGAGCAGAGTGTTTTTTTTTTTTTTAACAAAAGCACTATCAGTATCTAACTTATATGACTCCTTCCCATGCTAAAAGGGTCTGCAGAGCTGACTCAGAATTTTGAGTCACTTTCCTACAGTTCCCTAAAGATGAGCTCATGAGTCAGAATTGAATGTAGTAATAAGTTGGGTTCTCTCACGTGCACGATGAAACCACGTCTCCTAATGACTGAAACTTTTGCCCGGTTAGAATAGCTGCAGCCCTCAGCCTCTGCTCTGTTGTGGCTCGCTTTGGAAACATTCTTTCCTTTCCCCCCATCCTCAGCATTACTTACACGAGCTTGTCATCAAGACACTGGTCCAGCACAACCTCTTCTACACGCTGCACCAGTTCCTGCAGTACCATGTCCTCAGCGACTCCAAGCCTTTGGTATGCACTGTCGGATTTTTACTTTTGTCATGGTTGGAAACTTAAATTTTAACCTTCCAGCTGAAGCCAATCTGGAAATTTGTCTTTCAGGCATGTCTGCTTTTATCCCTAGAGAGTTTTTATCCTCCTGCTCATCAGCTGTCCCTGGATATGCTGAAGGTAACTGAGATGCAGAATTTTAGGCTATGTAACCTTCTGTTCCTGTTGCTCTCTTTTACCTGGACTTCTCTCTCCCTTACTTCTAGCGGCTTTCGACAGCAAATGATGAAATAGTAGAAGTTCTTCTTTCCAAACACCAAGTGTTAGCCGCCTTAAGGTTTATCCGGGGCATTGGTGGCCACGACAATATTTCTGCACGAAAATTTTTAGATGCTGCAAAGCAGACTGAAGACAATATGCTTTTTTATACTATATTCCGGTTTTTTGAACAGCGAAACCAACGTTTGCGAGGGAGCCCTAATTTCACACCAGGTGAGTGTACAGTAGCAAAGCAGACTCAGAATAGTAGCAAGAGTACCCTGGCATCTTGCAAGCAAGGAAGACTCCTGGGATAGCTTTTCTGTAAGCAAAATTTCCTAGCAGCCCACCTGGCCCTGAGTCCATGGCTGTAGTAGAGGAAAGTCAGTGTGCTGATGGAGTCATGCTCTGGAACTCACAGTAGAGGTGCATTTTGGGTCCAGAGACATTTAGGACCCAGTTCAGGCAGACTCACAGCCTGTGTCTGACAGCTGATTTTGGAATATCCCTTTTGAAAGGTCAGGAATAAGAAGGCAAATGGTTCCTAAGGGTTAGGAAACACTAGCTAATCTCCTCATCTCCAAATAGTATTTTTTTCTTTAGGATGGGGAAGGAGTAGAACTCTTTAATCAAACTCCAGTTTGACCCTTGTAGGTCTACCAACTTCTTGCTTATTAGTATACAAGGTGGCCTTCAGTTGCCGTGACAACAGATTAGACTCACTCCCATCTAGTTTTTGTACTTGTATACAGATGCTGACTTGCTAGGGGTTGTGAAGGTGTCAGTTTTGCAATAGAAAGGACAATCCAGAAACTTAGGAAAACAGTATTTTATTAAAAAAGTTAAACTCATACACACATCTTTCTCTTTTCCGGCCACGTCTAATTGGTGATTAAATCTGTTTTCCTTTTTAGGTGAACACTGTGAAGAACATGTTGCTTTCTTCAAGCAGGTTTTTGGAGACCAAGCTCTAATGAGGCCCACTACGTTCTGAAATCATAGCTAGGTTTTTTTTTATATATATAAAAATATGCACTCTACCCAGGGCGACTGCTTGAGCCTCTGTCTCAAAAAAAAAAAAAATGTACAAAGTTAATTTATTGCATTAATAAAGCTCTTTAATTAAACTACAAAATGTTATAATATATAAAGTATATCTACAACATCCTCAAATGTTACTCCTAAAAAAGGAGACAGTACGTGATTGGCCTTTTAAAAGTGTCGGTGAGCAGATCGTGATCAGCCATCCTGGCATCACCTTCCACTCGCCCAAGAATGAGGTTTCTTTCCTGAAGAAAGTTGGGAGAGGTTTAGTGTCCCTGGGTTGCCTTCAGATGTAGTGATGCTGCCTTACAAGTCACATGTCATTCCTGAGTTTAAAAGCTGCTGGTGTCGAATAGCCTGATGTTTGAGAACATCCGGTGTCCAACTGAGCCTCGACAGTGCAGCAGACAGCCAGTGCTCAAATGACCCTTAGACACATTCAGTCACCAAACCCTGTGAGCGGCTAGAAATTTAGGAGTCGTTCTCGCTCTGTACCTTTGTATCGATCCTCAGTGGCACAGCTTTTGGCTTTATTTATTGATGGTCCTATGAGAGATAAAACAGCCTGTTATTTCTTTGGCTAAACAGAGATAGTTTGTACTGGACTGTAATGAGCTAGATGATCCCCCACATATGAAGAAAGCCCCACATTTTCTAAATCTTTTCAGTGCTTCAACTTGGTTACAGAACTATAAATCCAGCAAGTTAGGACTGTTCTTCTTTCAACCATGGGTCTTTGTGCAAGTTGAAGTTGAAAGATCATAAGGACACTCAAAATAGGAGGTCAACAGCAGAGGCAGCGTTTTGCTTGGTTAGGGCGCCAGCCACATAAAGCTGGCAGGTTCAAACCCGGCCTGGGCCTGCTAAACAATGACAACAACAAAAATAGCTGGGCATTGTGGTGGGCGCCTGTAATCCCAGTTATGTGGGAGGCTGAGGCAAGAGAATCACTTAAGCTCAATGAAGTTTGAGGTTGCTGTGAGCTGTGATGCTACAGTACTTTACTGAGGGCAACT